TTCATTTTATTGCATCGCGGCGACGCTTATTTGCACGTCTCATCGGCAGGCAAGGCTCCTGCGGCTGCAGAGCGCCTTAAACCGGGCAGGCGCGTTCTCCGAGGTGCATTGCCAGCAATTAGGTCCAAGGCGTAAAATCAAAGCTCTTGCAGCGGGGCGTCGCAGCCCGCAGGGCAGCAGCTTGCTTGCTCGAGGTTGCAGCCCCAGACCCTTCGCCGGCCACTTTTTTCAACAGCGTTGGCCCAATTTTCCTTGAAACGGCCTCGTTTTCTGCTCTTTGCCCGCTTGAGCTCGACCTGCCCATTCGAGCATCATTAGCGACATGCAGGGGATAATTATCAGGCAGCTTAGCTGCGCCAGGCTGATAAGGGCTGGTACCCCTGGGCGCGGAGGGAGAGCTGCCACTGCACGCCTCCCACGTATTTCTACATAACTTCCCGTGCTTTTGCCCCTACAAATGCAAAAAGGTGGTGCAGGATGTGTTTTCAATGCCCGGCACGGAGGAGATGCCGCCGGGGGACGCCGGGTCCCGAGCACCGTCATGGCTCAGAGATGCTTCTCGGGAAACGCTTCCCCTCGGGGAGGAAAGGGATTTTTGCAAGCTGCCCCGGCGCGTGAGATACAGGGAGGGGGTAACGCACACGGGCGGCGATGCACGATGAGGCAAAAGGGGCAGGTTTTGCTGGGTTACGCGAGAGCGGGCTTCTTCCCGAGGCTTGAAGGAAGCTGGGGAGCAGGGGAAACAGGAGCCGCGCGCGGTTCATCCCGCCGGCTGCTGTCAGCTTTGCTGAACCTGATTTGCGGTGGGAGGGCCACGACGCACAGGGCGGCGAGGTTAGGGCTGCCGGGGCGTCCTCCTGCCAACGCGCGCGGGGCCCCTCTCGCGTTCGCTGCGTTAAGACCCGGAGGAGGTCAAGGCCAGGGGGAGGTTTCGCGTAGCTGCCTTGTCTCCCTTGCTGCTTTATGCAGCTCGGTCTTTGCAGGAGAAAGATGTTGCCGGTTGCGTTTGGGAAGCTGCTTTTCCGGTAGAGCTGAGCTGAAAGTCAACGAGCATCTCGCGCAGGATTCAAACCTTGAGGATGAATCCTTGCCTGAGCGTTAGAGGAGGGTGTTTTGCCTGGGGAGTCCTGCAGCAATGGGTCATTCGATGCTCTTTGCACCGTGCGGAGCAGGGCGATCCACCGAGAAACCGCTTTCGAGCCGTCCCGGTGCAGGACGGGCTTCACCAGGGGCGGCTGAGCAGCCGCTGCACCCTGCCGGCCGAGCCCTAGGGACTTTATTTGCGGACTGCTGCTGCCCTTGAAGCATTTACCTTGCTTAAAACTCATTAAACATGAGGGCAAATGCCTCCTTTTGCTGTCTGCGTTGCGCCCATGCGTTTTTTTCTCGAGCCTCATCTGCTCTCGCTCCGCCGCAGGTACATGGCTATCATCCACCCGCTGCAGCCCCGGCTCTCGGCCACCGCCACCAAGGTGGTCATCGGCGTCATCTGGCTCCTGGCTTTCCTGCTAGCCTTCCCCCAAGGCTACTACTCGGTGACGGAGGAGCTGCCGGGCCGGCTGGTGTGTCTGGTGGCGTGGCCGGAGCACGACGCCAACGCCTACGGGAAAACGTGAGTCGGCGCCTCGCGCCGGGGTGGGACGGTGGGAAATCGGGTGCCGGGAGCCACGACGGGAACGCCACAGTGCTGGCAGAGGGGAGAAAAAGGAGCGAGGTGAAAGGCACAGAGATGCGCCGAGCCCAAACATGCAAAAATCCACTTGGCCGCTGAAAAGCCAAACTCGGGTCTTTGCCGCATCTGACGCCGTCTGCCAGCTGGGGAAAACCAGGAGGCGCATGCGTGGCTAGGAGCTAGCGCGGGAATATATTTCCTCCCCATTAAGGTGCCACCTAATTATCTCCGGGGTTTCAAAAGGCTCCGGGCGGCCCCGCTGCGCCCGCAGCCGCTTCGCTCTTTGAGGTCGGGGCGTCCGGCTGTTCCCTTGCAAGGTTGTCACGCGGTGACTTAAATGTCACGCGTTAAAGGAAAAAAAGACATTTGCGATCTCGATTCCCGCGGAACGATCCACAAAATCGCGCTGGGCCAGGGCACGCGGAGAGGGGCTTACAGCAAGCGTGAGCCCGGCGAGGGTAAGATGAGTTCATCAGTCAGCAGCAAGTTGCAGGACCAGCTCGGGGGCTGGACCAGCCGACCTCCAGAGGTGCCTTCCAACGCTTTATTTGGGTACCAGCTGGGTTAAAAAAGAAAAGAAAGAATAGAAAAAAAAATCACTGCAATCCAGTCCATTCTGGTTCCCAGCTAATTGCAGTTATTATTAGCCTTGCACAGAGGGAAATCTGGGATCTGCAAGCTTCACCTTTCGAACTGCGCTTGCAACAGCCGAACCCTGTACAACCGGCAGGGACTGAAAACAACACGCAGCTTGGTCCGAGTGCTGCATTGTCTCCCTGAACCACACTAACCCTTGGCCACGTTTTATGCAGCCCCGTGGCTGCTGCAGGGACACGGATACGCTGGTTCCCATCAAAAATACCGACGATAAAGGCACGGGAGCCGTCACTGCACGGAGGGAGCACGGCCCTTCATCCCTCTCACACGTCCCTCAGCCTCGCTGCCTGCACAATAAAGCCCGGCATAGCTCGGGATATTATTTTACTACCCAAAAATAACTTTGCAAGGACAGGTGTCTGGGCCGCTGTCAAACCTTCTTCCTTGTTTTTGTGAGCCTGTCTGCAGTTATTTATGGAAGGCAATGGGGGAAATGCTCCCTGCAGCTCGTTTGCAACGCCAGGATGGGGAGAAAGAGGTGAAAACAGCCAGAGATAGGGAAAAATAGGGAAGCAGGAGAGACCTCCGTGCGGGCAAGATGCTGGAGCCACGAGAGGGCCCAGCAATCCAGGTCAGTTCAATTCAACAGCTTCTCGCCACCGCTAACTGCCAATTCTCTCGCCCGCTTTTGGTTTCAAAATAGATGGCTAATCTGTTCCAATCTCATTAGCTCCAAGTCAGTTCGGCAGGCAAGGGAAAAAGCTGCTCCGCTAGGATAAACCGTTTTTTCCAGACCCACCGCGAGAGTTTTGCTGCGGCCCCGCGGGGAAGGGAGCTGGATCATCCCTGCGGTTGCACCTGAGCCGGCCAGCGACCCCTTTTCAAAAAAAGCCCCAGGGCTCTTTGGGAATCCCACGATATGATGCCCCCCATCATGCCCAGGTGGCTCCAAAAACCCGGAGCACTTGCGTCCGTCTTGTGTTATCCGACGGCTCCTCCAGGCGCTCGGGGGCATTTCTGCTACCGTCGGCCTCAGCTCTTTGCAGCCGGTTTGAGACCCTGCGTTGCGTGGGAACCACAGCCAAGTCCTAATTGCGGAGCCACCGAGACGCCTCTCTAATTAGCAAAATGGAAAACAGCCCTACAAAAATCCAGTGCAAACGCAATTAGTGCCGGGGAGGGAGGGAAGGCCAAATGAGATTGCAGGTCCAAAACAAGGAGGAGACAGTGTGGCAGCACGAGGCCAGGGCCACCTTCGTCCCCACCGGCTGGCCAGTGGCGCTGCATGTGCCCCAGGCACGAACCTGGCATATTCGATCAGAGCTGAATACATTTTGCAGCCAATAAGCCTCCAGTTCAGGCCAGTTTTGCCCCAGACTCCCACCTACCTCGCTCAATTTGAGGCTTATCTATGCCCATCGTAAAGGGTACCCGGAGGTCCTGTCCGATGGCTCTTTACACCAGCCTGGAGAACCGACCCGGCTGCCGAGTTTGCAAAATTAGCTTTTCTTCCCCCACAGTGCTTGCAGGAACGAAAGACGCTGCCAAATCCACCAAGGGGAGAGTTTACACCGAGCAAACCCAGGCCGTGCAATGCAGCCTGCAAATCCCAATTGCTTCCAAGCAAGCTCCAGAAGGACCCTAAAACCTCACCGTCTTTCCCAGCTACGTCTGTTGAGTTTAGGAAACTATCTCGCTTCCTGCCCCTATCCTTACTCCAGGTCTCATCTTACCTGCAAACAGCAACCCTCCCTTCGAGTTCTGACCAGTCTCGTTTGCCCCAACGAATGGGTCAGATTGATACTGGCAGGAAATATAACTTGGCCCCCTGGGTTGAAAATAAATTGCAAAAAAAAAGGGGGGGGTGGAATTTGGCCCCAAGCATGTTGCACTCTGCTGTTCCCAGCTGAGCTCTTTGGCACTGGGGCCGGGGTTAGGTCTTGCAACAGCGAGCACAGCCAAATCTGCAATGGGCCAACTCGGGCGATGCACATCCAAGACCCAGCATTTGTCCTGCAGGGAAACCCTTTATCCTTTTAGCTGAATATTCCCATCCTTTAAACGATGGGGAAAAAAAAAAAAGACATTTGCTCCTGCAGAGCTACCAGATGAAAGGGAACATTTGTCTTTAAGATAATTTGGGGTGTAACTAGAGCATGCCAGGGGCATCATGTTGGAGATGGCTGAATCCAGGTGGCCTCTCTCCAGATTAGCTGCCCAGCTCTTGGAGGAGCATCTCCAACAAACGGCACTGGACCTGGCTCGTCAGTCTTGGTGTGGTTTCTTATGGGAAGGAGGTGTGTGCGACACCACTGCGGTGCACCGTCTCATCACAGAAGGCATTTTTGGTGTCACGGGGGCCTGGCGATGCTGTCAGACACTAATGCCTTTTGGTCATAGTTGCCTTGAGACCCTCAATGTTATTTAAAAAAAGCCTCACAGAAAAAGTCTCAGCACTGGCATGTGAAGTCTTCTTAGGTCACTATTGACACACCTGTAACTTTCCAGCGGGACCTGGGCACAATCTGACAGAGAAATTTAGACACATCGCACGTGCCAGCAAGATCTTTTCAAAAGAAAACATTTCAGTGGTGGGAACACAAAGAGCTCACTCATGCCCATCCCTGCCTAGTCCTCAGTTTTGACTTTTGTCCCCTTTTGAGAAAGGCACTACCATGACCAGCTCCAACTCCTACACTGCAAAATGCAGGGTAGGGTCAGTGCAAGCACATTTGTCTTTCACTCATCTCTACATCACATCCCAGGAGAGCTCCAGGATGCTAACGGCCGGTAGCTGCGGGTTGGGAGAGACTGAGCTGGGACCACGGGATGGAGTCCTTTCTCCACAGAGGTTATGGCCCCAAGCTCTTTGGGTAACACATTATAGAGTTGTGCCAAATTCCCTTTTCCCCCATGAAACTTTGCTTTCAAGCTCAATTTGTGGAAATGACTTCATCGATAGAGGATACCCAACAGCCATGGTCTGTCTTAGGTATCACTTCTGCATGACTGTCCTGATCTACTTCCTGCCACTCCTGGTGATCGGATGTGCCTACACTGTGGTCGGCATCACCCTCTGGGCGAGCGAGATACCCGGCGACTCCTCTGACCGCTACCATGAGCAAGTGTCAGCCAAGAGGAAGGTAAGGTGCTTCCAGTGCGGTAGGAGGCATCATGCCCAATCCCAGCTTACCACGGCCAAAAATAATCCATCTAGAGTGGGAAGAAGTAAGGACTCATTTCATCCTTGCTGCTAAGGGAGCAGAGAACGTCTTCCAGACAGCCCCAGCTGAACGCACATGGTTAAACCGAGATGTTGCCTGCGTGGTCATGGTGGGACGGGTGCCCAAGGCAGAGCTGAAGCTGTGGTGTGGCGCAAGGAGGACACCCACTCTGGTGGGTGATGCCCCATCACTGAGCTCGTGCTCCCTGGCGTCCAGGCAACTCAGCTTCCCTGCCTGCTCTTTTCCTTGCAGGTGGTGAAGATGATGATCATCGTGGTGTGCACGTTTGCGCTCTGCTGGCTGCCCTACCACATCTACTTCACTCTGCAGTACTTCAACCCCGAGTGGTACCTGCAGAAGTTCATCCAGCAGATCTACTTGGCTATCATGTGGCTGGCCATGAGCTCCACCATGTACAACCCCATCATCTACTGCTGCCTCAATGACAGGTGGGTTACGAGCTCCCTTCAGCAGCGACTCGGCCCAGTAGACCAGGGAGGAGGAGACATCCGAGAGGTGGCAAAACGAGTGAGAAAAGGGGGAACAGCTTAGGGGGAACAGCTCCTCACAATACTGCTCAAGCTGCTGGCTTGGCTTCTTTACCCCTGTCTCTCCTACTTTTGGAGCTGCAGGTGCAAACAAAGCCCCAAAAGCCCCAAAATAGCCCTGCGCACAAAGTTAAATGCAGTTACAGAAGCTTTTCCAGCATGGCTCTGTCCCATCCTCCAGCAGATACAGGGCTATATCAGACTCATCCGGGTAGACCTTTCCTACAGCCCATGTGGGATCTGAGGGCAGGTATCCAAGCAGACCCCACTCCAAACTGGGGGGTTTGCTTTTTTCTGCCCTGGTAGTAAAAAGTAGCACCTTCTCACGTTTAGTGGTGCTTAGCTCAAGCTTCCTGCTCCTGGCCTGCTTCCTTGCAGTAGCCCTGGGTCTCTCACCCCACAGCAGCTGTTGCCTGTAAATGAGGCTGAATTTGGGTAAGAAATTGCAATTTTGGGGGGCAGAGAAAGCAACAGAGAACTGGGGCAAACCCTGCCACCTTTCTTTGGCTTCTGTGGGACATTTGACCCAAGCGAGACATTCAGAAAGGGGTTGCACTATCCAATTTTTGGGCAGCACAGAACAAAATGCACCCCCTGGCCCTTAAAGGGCCAATGAGGCCAATGCCGCAAGCGCACACCATCGCCCTCCTTGCCTCTGCTCTCTCCCCAGGTTTCGTGTGGGCTTCAAGCACGCGTTTCGGTGGTGCCCCTTCATCAGTGCTGGTGAGTACGAGGGCCTGGAAATGAAGTCGGCCAGGTACCTGCAGACACAGAGCAGCACCTACAAGGCGAGCCGGGTGGAGACCACCGTCTCCTTGGCGGTCGGCGTGGCCGACGATGAGCTCGACGAGGGTAGCAAGGCCAAGCGCCTCTCCGTGGACATGACCTCCAATGGCTCCTCTCGCAGCGACTCCAAAACCGTCTCCGAAAGCTTCAGCTTCTACTCAAACACGCTCACCTAAGCGGTCCCCGTCCCTTCTCCCTCCCAGCGCCATCGCCCTGGTTCGTGTCTCCGTGCCGTTTTCCCGTCTCTCGCTGCACTGACAACAGTGGGCAGCCCGAGAGCCAAAAAAATCCCCCTTTGGATTAATTTTGGTGTGCTCCCTCATGGATCTTCTCTGAACACAAGGAAGGTTTTGCTGGCCAAGCTTTTTTGTCCTCCCCGTCACTCCTGGCTGGATATCCACATGGGCATAATCCAGTGGAAAATATCCTTTAGAAATTTGGGGGCCACAATGCAAGTTTTCTGTGGGGACCGCAGAAGCCAGGGACAGGGTTTTGGTTGCAACTCAGATTTTTGGTTGTTATCTAGCAGTCGTATGTGCCAAAAAAAAATCTCAGTCATTTCCTAAAGGGCCCAAAGCGGTGGATTTTGCATAGGTTTTGGAAGCCTGGGGAGGTCTGGAGGAGAAGAGACTATACCGAAATACATGTTTCACAACCCCGAAACAGTGAGAGCTGCTCAGAAACAGGTGCAGCAGTTTTCCTTCAGAAAACTGAGTTTTGCCAACATGAAATGTTTGATGGGTTATGGAGGTTTTGCAGAAATTTTTACTCAGTGGTGTGCCAAAAGAAGAATCGCTTCTGCTTTCTGGATTTTGTTTTCTGAGAAATGTCTCTCTTTTCATCCCCTTTTGTCTAAAGCTGTAAGTTTATGACATGTATATGGGTATATTTAATATTTTAGTTGCTGTGATGTGGTTTCACTGGGGCCATTCGCACCAAGCAGGACCCCTTTGCTTCAGAAGGTTTTGAATCGCTCCGGCTATCCCAAATCGGGGTTGTTGCAGATGGATCAGGAATTGTGCTGTGCGTCCAGCGGTGGATTTCCACTTCAGGAAAGCTAACAGCTCACTGAGAAATAAAGGCATCGTTGTAGGGAGCCAATACCTTTTTATTAGGTATTGGGACTTTGCTTCCCCAGAAAACCCTTGGGATCCTTCAGCGAGCGGTGAAAGGGCTCCTTTGGTCTTATGAACATACACTCAAAAGGGCAGGGGGAAAGGTGTGCAAACTTGGCTTGTTGGGAACAAAATCACAAGGGTTTGTGCTTTGTTATTTTTATTTTTTTAAAGCATGTGAGTTGTTTCAGCATGACAAATTCTACTAAGATGAAGGAAGTTGTGAACCTAGATTTTTCACTGGATATAGCTTGGATTGAAGGTTTGGCCCTCTGTGCTCAGCAGTGGCCAGGGAGGGATCGCTGTGGCCGTTGGATCAGGAGCCGCCGGCAACATCTCTCCCCCAGGGTGGGGTCGCGGTGGCCGTTGTATCAGGAGCCGCCGGCACCATCTCTCCCTCCTCGGGGTGGAAATCAGCCTTCTGAAAAGGTCTTCTGCGAGACAGAGACGCTGGAGAGATGCCTGACAGATTTGCACAGGGCAAGGAAAGGGCTCGCTTGCTTTAAAGCCAAACATCTCTGCTCTTCAAGCCTGCAGCGATTTCTGCAAGTAAAACAGCGATGACTTTTTCAGCTTCTCAAGCTGTCGGACGACACCATCATTAAATATATCCCCAGCCGCGACGGCGTTTGGAGATTAAAAACACGCAGTTAAGCAACGACTCCAGCAGAAACCAAATGAACAGGCCAACAGATTGATGTGAGAGCAACAAAAGTGCCGTGAAGTGGGATTGGTGAGAATGATTGTGGTCGTTTTTACCCCAAATCCTGCCCCATGCCATCGGTTAGGAGCAGCCCTGGCCACTGGGACAACATGGGGTTGCAAACTGCCCCGCACTTCGTGCACGCGCCGCAACGCTCATGCGCGCTCCAGGGTTTGCAGCAGCCTCCAGAAATCAGCAGGTGAAAAAGAAATAAATAAATAACCTCTTCTCCAGAGTTTTTTTTTTCCTCCCTCTAAGTGTCAAGCTGCCAGCTGTAACGCAGAGGCTTTTTCCAGCTTTCTGAAGCCTGTTTCCCTGCTTTGCTTTCAGATCTCTGATTAGAAATGTGCTTGCAAAGCCAGGCAGTTTCTTTGTCTCTTTTCTGGCTCTCTGAAATGCAAAATAACCACTGTCGCCGCGGGGAGCCACGAGCGCCCCATCACGATACGCTGAAATAACCAGACACGCACCGAGCACCGTGCACAGCAGTGGCAGGGCAAACCCAGCTCAAACAAGCCAAAAAAATGCTGCAGAAGGCAGGGAAAGGGGCTCCAAAACCCAAATCCCAGCCCAAAGCTATCTCCTCTCCCCATGAGACTGATAAAAACCTCAGGTTTGCTTCCTAGCATTTTGGGATCGCTCTTCCCCACCAGGAGCACAGACCAAGGAGCAGCAAATCCCCATTTCCATATAAACCTTGAGGTCCACCCGGTTGCTCGGAAGTGCAACATTAACGCCCCGGTTTCAATCCCTCCCTGGTGCAGAATAAAAACAGCAAAAGCCAGCTTAGGTCCTGCTTCCCCCCACCCCCCAAATAAATAAATAAAAAAAAAAATCAGACAGTTTTGCCAAAAAGGAGCTCCTAGTTTCTGCTCACCATTAAAAAAAAAAAAAAAAAGGCTTTTCAGGCTCAAATAATCTGTAACCCGCTAGTCACTCAATGCTGCCCCAAAGCCCGTCTCCAGCTCAGTAACAAACGCAGCACCCTGAGCACTTGCATTTTCAATTTAGTTTGTGGCGTTCGGTTCGCGGGACAGCTAATAAGAGTTATTCCCCTAGCAGCATCTCCATCCAAAGAAGCGCAGCCCTCCCACCCCGAGCGGTCTCGCTCTGACGGTCGGGCTTGCCTACCGGTAAGTCGAGGTGGATTTTGCTAAATAAACATTTCTTGAGGGACACCCAGTCAGCAGCCAGTTAATGCGCCTACGGCGAGGACGGGAGGAGAAGGGGGCAGATGGGACAGGTCCAAAATTAGGCAAAAGGAGGGTCATGACGCAGGCAGCGGGTTTCAGGGGAAACCCAGTGCAAGGGGTGTGCTCAAGCTCCCCAGACCGCAGCAGGATAATCCTCAAAATCCAACCATCCAAGGGGATGCCTTGCACAGGCCTCACAGCCCTAACGAGAGGGGAAAGCATAGCCCTAATTAGCAATCAGCCCTGCTTCCCCCACAGGAGCAAAGCCCCCAAAGCAGGCAGGCCTTGCAATCAGCTGCAGCCAACTGTAATTTGCAGTTTTTAATTAGAGGAGCAGCACTGAGGCACAGCTGATCAGCATTGCTGCCAAAGGCCCTGTCCCACTTGCCTATTAAGGCTGGTTTATTTATTTTCACAGGTCATTTTTTACTATGTGAAAGGGAGAAGGGGAATAAATGGTGGCACCCGCTGCTGCTCTGCTGTGCTGTGTGCAGGCATCTGCTCCCAGCTCAGCTTCCCCACGGCAGGAGCTTGCCAGCAGATCCCAACATCTCCGTGCAGTTCAGCACATCAAATCCGAATGAGAGGTCCTTTTATTTATCAACATCAACCGTTGCCGGAAGGGTTGGTAGCGGTTCTTAAATGTGCCTGCTAGAGCAAAGTGTGGGAGCGTGCTTATGGGAGCTGGCTGTAAAAAACGCTCATCTGCCAAAGCGATCGGCTCCAGAAATTGGACAGGCGAATCAGAAATCGTTGTAGCCCAATCTGTCCCTGTTTACACATTTCTTCCCTTTGCAAAGTGAACACCAAGCCTGGAGAGCGTTTGCTGTCGCTGAAACCTGTGGCAAGGCTCTCGTGGCTCCAGGCCCTGGGAAGGGTGATTTATAGAGGAAATCAACTCCCTGGGATTCAGACTGAACCCACAGTTGCATGTGAAAACCACTAAAAACAAGAATTATCTTGGTTTGAGCCAGGGTTTGGGGAATTCAAGGTAGTTGTTTTACAAAGAAGGGGAGGAAACTTAAAAAGGGGTTATTCCCAGCCTGGCAAAGTACTGCACAGCTCTTCTCTAACAGCCAGCATCTACCTTGCCTAGCAGAGGCCGATGCTACTCATTGCATGCCACCATACCCTTGCACAGCAGACAAAACGCAGTTACGCCATCCACTGTGTGTCCCCTCCGAAGGGCCGATTGCGTGCTCTTAAATATTAGCAAAACTCACTGGTTTTCCAAGCGGGGCCAAGCCTGGCTGCGTGTCAGGCTGTGAACGAAGGGGTCAAGCCAAGACGCAGCGGGTGGAAGGAGAACCAAGCATGTTCGGACCAAGGGGGACAGGGACAAAAACGTGGCTGATTTTCACCTGTGTGGTTGTGTCTTTTTATAGCTTTCCTCAGCCACCGCAGAGAGTTTTGGCAGATTTCAATGAACCCATCAATCTGATTATTTGCTATGGCAAAGGCACGAGTTAGCTTAATTAGCATTTATGGATTCCACCGTGCTTTGCATAAATGCTTGCTTAATACACAAGTCAAAAATAACCCCAGAAAATGAAAATTAAGGATAGTTAATTGGTTGTAGCAATGCACCAGTGTGTAAACTGGGGTTTCCATGGCACCAAATGGTCCGTTGGATCGTTATGATAAAGTAACACCTGAAAGAGAAACAACTTTAGTTTAAAACCTAAAGGGAAGTAGCTTCTTTGCATTCTTCACAAGACTTCGTGGACTCCCCAGTTTAATTTCTGGGCTGATTGCGGTGGATTTTTGCTTCCCTGCCACAAACGGGGCTGCTCGATGGAGAATTGCAGACACCGCTCCACCATAGCCTCGCTGTTTAGGCAAGCAATTACTCTTTATTACTGAACTAAATGAGTCAAGCATTAGCTAATGAAAGACTTGAAAACTGGCAGAGGCGATATAAAAAAATCAACCTGATCGGATTGCAAGTGTGAAATGAGGATTAAGAGCAGTTTTGATGTTTTGGGTGCGTGTGGGGCAGCCAAGTAACCACATTAAAATGACTTTCCTCTGCGTCGGTGAGATGCAAGCTCCTAAGGAGGGGAGGGGAGAGGGTGAGAATAATTATTGCTAAGGATGGTTAAGTGTGATGATGATGCTAATGGGTCTGATTAAGCCAATATTATTAATTTGAGCAATTTGACAGGCGGGGAAGTGTGTCACAGAAGGGTCTAGGAGGTCCCGCTCTAACCCGGAGCAGCGCAAGGCTGATGCTACACAGGATCAGGTTGCTCAGGACCTTGCCCAGGCGAGCCTGGAGGATCTCCCCCTCTAGATTCCCACCAAACCATCCTCACCAGGACCAGGCCACGCTGATCCCACTTTCTCCTGTTCCTTTTCATATAAACAGCTGTAAGCTTCCTAAAAAACTACACTGTGGTTACAAAAGACCAAGGTGTCAAGAAGAAATACAGGTCCTTCCTGAAGCCTCAGTCATTCTGAATAGCAATAGCTCAGGCTCAGAGGAGCCTTGCCATGCCAAACGTCTCCAGAAACATATTGCTGTTATTGCAAACCAGATTGTGCTGTCCACATTGATTGAAGCACAACCAACAAGATTTCAGGGAGTAATGAGAGCAATTTAAGCAGAGGTGAAAGGAGAAAAAGGGAAAAGGAGAGTTGTTCTGAATCACTCTTGCTTTCTGCAAAGTGGCATACAGCTACGCTAGCTGAAGAGCAGATAATATCTGTATTGCGGGATGTGCAGTTGATTATTACAAGCTGTTCACAATCCAAAAGCCTCTCTGATTCAGGGCATAATCAAATGGGCTGCAAATTTGCATTTAAATTGAAGCATTTAGGAATCCATACCTCAAAGAGGAGCTGTCTTCCTTGGTTGATGCTTCTGATGGCCTTCACAAAGGAAGACAAAAATTGCACATGACTTTAAAAATCAACACAGCCCCCAAGCCGGTACTGCTGCCCTTTGCCAAGAAATCCTTCTCTGTGAAGGACGGGATTGATATGAACATCTGAACCCTGCGCAGTGATAACCCTCCAACTTCACCCTCCAGCCAGCAGAGTCTCAATTAGATGGAGCTGTCTTAAAGACTTGTTATAGCACTAACGTTATCAGAGTCACAACCTCTCCCCCCAGCACCACGGGCTGAAGGATCGCTCTGACACCCAAATGGACACCGGCAGCAGACATTATCCACACTAATATCTGGTCAGCTGTGCAAAAAGGCCATAAAGTGGCAGCAGAGGCACACCGGGACACCTCCAGGGACATCTGAGTCACATGGCATGCCCAGGGGAAAGAGCCCATGGAAGCAATACATTTTGGATGCGGTCAGCTGCATGAACAGCTCTGGTCTGAGATGCTCTCTGAAGATAAACTCCCTGAGGACCAGGTCCATGCTCTGTGCAAGCTGAGAAGTGCAGCAAAGCAAGGCATCCCATGCTGCAAACCGTCTCCTCCTCCT